GCCCGGTCCCCCGACGGCCTGAGCGGGTGCGCCCCGGAGCCTGTGGGTCTGAGTTACCGGGGGGGGCGGGCGGCTCTCCCGCTGCCTGGGGCCGAGCCCTGATTCACACGTGGCCCAAAGATTTGCCCTCGGTTCCAGGCTCCCGCAGCCCAGGGGGGAGGGGGCTGGCTTTGAGCCAGGGCAGCAGACTGGCGAGTGTGGAGATGCTTTTGCAGGGAACTGGGACTGGGGGGGTCCCTGGGCGCACCGAACCGCCCCCCCTCCCAGGCAGGCGACACTGGCCCGGAGAGCCTGGCTCGATTTCTCCGGGGTCCCTGGGAGCACCGAACCGCCCCCCCTCCCAGGCAGGCGACACTGGCCCGGAGAGCCTGGCTCGATTTCTCCGGGGTCCCTGGGAGCACCGAACCGCCCCCCCTCCCAGGCAGGCGACACTGGCCCGGAGAGCCTGGCTCGATTTCTCCGGGGTCCCTGGGAGCACCGAACCGCCCCCCCTCCCAGGCAGGCGACACTGGCCCGGAGAGCCTGGCTCGATTTCTCCGGGGTCCCTGGGAGCACCGAACCGCCCCCCCTCCCAGGCAGGCGACACTGGCCCGGAGAGCCTGGCTCGATTTCTCCGGGGTCCCTGGGAGCACCGAACCGCCCCCCCTCCCAGGCAGGCGACACTGGCCCGGAGAGCCTGGCTCGATTTCTCCGGGGTCCCTGGGAGCACCGAACCGCCCCCCCTCCCAGGCAGGCGACACTGGCCCGGAGAGCCTGGCTCGATTTCTCCGGGGTCCCTGGGAGCACCGAACCGCCCCCCCTCCCAGGCAGGCGACACTGGCCCGGAGAGCCTGGCTCGATTTCTCCGGGGTCCCTGGGAGCACCGAACCGCCCCCCCTCCCAGGCAGGCGACACTGGCCCGGAGAGCCTGGCTCGATTTCTCCGGGGTCCCTGGGAGCACCGAACCGCCCCCCCTCCCAGGCAGGCGACACTGGCCCGGAGAGCCTGGCTCGATTTCTCCGGGGTCCCTGGGAGCACCGAACCGCCCCCCCTCCCAGGCAGGCGACACTGGCCCGGAGAGCCTGGCTCGATTTCTCCGGGGTCAGGCAGCCGGTTCCGATACAGGTAAATAGCGACAGTAAGTAGCCGTTACTGGACATCTCTTCCCACACGCCTCCGGGTGTGGAGGTAGCTGCTCCCTGGCTGCATGACACACGGGGCGTTCCTGGAGGCCTCGCGGGAAAGAGGAGACTAGTGTGTCAAAGCATCGCCAGGCGGCCGCGGCGCCCCACGGCCCTTTTGCATTTCCTGGGCTTGGCTTCTGGCTGCATGACACACGGGGCGTTCCTGGAGGCCTCGCGGGAAAGAGGAGACTAGTGTGTCAAAGCATCGCCAGGCGGCCGCGGCGCCCCACGGCCCTTTTGCATTTCCTGGGCTTGGCTT